CAGGAACAAAAGGTAAAATGCAATTTAATGTACTGTTGTTGGGTTTTTTAGTATCAGTTTTGTTCGCGAGTTGTGTTTTGTTGTGGGGAATATTGGAGAGTTTTTCTACAATAGCTGGTGGGAATTTATTGGTGTGAATAAAGGAATGCTTTATGTGGTTAATTTCTTCATTTATGTAGTCCGTTCAACAGAGTCTTGTGGCTATGTTTATGATGTTTTTAAGTGTATTGATTTTTTGTGTGGTGTCATGAGTGGAATTCAGGGGATGTAGAGGCCAGTGTGTGTGTTCTTGCGGTGAATTTTAGTTTTAAACTGTGTGTCCGATCTAATAATTTTGAGGTTAAGAAAAGATAACTGTTTATTGTTTTCGTGTTCTATTGTAAATTTGATGTTGAGATGAATGGAATTTATGTGTTTAAAGAAAGTTAGTGTGTGTTCTGTAGAAGCGAAACCAGCAAAAGTGTCATTGCCATATCTGTACCAGTTTTTGGGAACTTCGGGAAACCACATTTTGTTGTAGTTGCCTCTGATAAAAGTCTGTTGGTTGATGTCATGGATTTCTTCTTTCTGTAGTTGGAGGATGTTTGAGGTAGAGGTGGTCTTTTGTTCTTTTATGTAGTAGGTCACTAGTCTTCTGGCTAGATTTTCTAGACACGCCTTGAACTCTAGGCATGGAGTTGTTTTGCGGTTGACGGCAAAGTTGAGACCTTTGTTTAGAAGTTGAAGTTCTGTGTCGTTGAGTGTCCGGTCAGATCTGTTGATTACAAGGTTAGGCTGAGCTGCATTGTTGTGTTTCACTTCACGTTGTTATAAATTCCTTAGTTAATCTAGTTTCTTATTGTGTATAGACTTCTTCTCTTGATTCAACAATGAGTTATTTTGATTGATAGCGCGTTGTAGATCGAAACACAAGCCATACATTCTGCGCTTCATCCCCCATTATACTGGTATGTTGCTTATATCTGTAAAAGTCCTCAATCCATATAAGAAAGCTGTCACGGTCTAGCGTATAAGGCGTTTCTCACACAGTGTGGAGGTCGTGAATTCAAAACCTTGAGCCAAACATGCTCACCCCCTCAGGTATGGGGATATTATAATGTGATGGTCAATCCCACCATTTAGGGGTAAAATAGCATTCAATGGTACATCTAAGGATGTTCCAGTCGATTGCTGTTTCTCCGGTAGACAGTTCAAAATTAAAGATGGCTGCAGATAGTTTTAGTAGCTTTACCATAAAGAAAACAAACATTAAATATGTGTGTGTGTGTATATATATATAATATGCGTAACATTCAAGCTATGTCCTTTATAGTTACGTCTGTTATTTCTGTTGATAATAGGCATTTGGAAAAATAGAAATGATAACGACAAATGTTTGTTCCTCACGAACACAAAGTGTAGAATATTCATTTTCATCTCAAGATTTACGTGTTTCGATCTACATGCCCAGTGTGAAGGGTGGGTAAGAATTTTATGCTAGCATTTTAAGTGTCGTATAATTAAATCATATGATCGTTTTTTCTAATAATGTGATATGGTACTATCATAGTTTAGCATACTAGTTACATATTGGTATACGGTATCCCTATTAATTTCTTTTAGTTTCATGACTGCTAGAGACCCCACTCCATTACTGAAAATTGAAGTTTTAAGGCTTTATTCTAGTTCCAAAACTAGACTATTAAATATTGTTACGACATCGAGGTCACGTGACTAGTATCACGCCACGTCATTCTCGAACTTTCACGTCTTTTCCTTAAATCTCGTGATCTTTCTAGATATAGTGTAGTCTTGTATATATAAGACCGGCCACGAAGCGACGGGGAGGTAATGAGTAATTGAATGTATGCGGATAAAATATTGTTGGCCACGTGAGACGTGAGTTATAGCGTTGTTATAGACGACTGTTGAAATTAAGTGTATCGTAAAGTTGTATTCGGAAAGAATAAACCAGTTTTATTTAAGAAAGAACTTGTGTCGCTAAAGTTTCGTCGGAACGAATTTACGGAAAATTAACTAACGAACCGAGATGTAACAATATAATAATAATAATAATAATACATTATATTATAATTGAATATTTTTTTGATTAGAAGATTTATAAATTAGGGGGTCGGCGATAGAATCGTGCCCCCTAAATTGCATCTATGTGTGAATAAACTTATTTCGGAGATCTGAAAACAGTGTCGGTTAACATTAAAATACGCCATTGTCAATGAAAACTGTAAAACTTTTCCCGAGGAATACGCCCCTGGGTTATCAGTATGGATTTGCCACTCATTAATTTTATTTCAAAAGTAGCCCCTCATTTATAGGCTTCCACCTACGCTCCTGTATATATAATGTATAATTTGAATAAAAGTAATTCTAATTCCTGCATACATACCTTAAGTCCTCTAGGGCCTATTGGACCTGACTCTCCAATAGTTCCGGACACCCCCTATTAAAAGTAAAATACATCTGAAACTTAATAAGCTATTACTTTTCCTTATTATTTTAGTAAATGTTTTTGTCTTTTTAAGGGTAAATATATTTCTTAATATTGTGTGAATTGCAGCTCATTTCTTTCCAAAGATTTTTTATTTCTTACTTTTACCGTTGCTAAATATCAAATGTTTAAGCTGGACAAAAACAAATAACTAGATAAATATTGCAATACTGATGGCTTTCCACTAAAAATAGAGATTTAGTTATTTACGTACCCATGTAGTAGTTATGGAGAGAGAGAGAGAGTGTGTAGTAGTTTGAGTTTGAGAACCACTGCTTTAACAATTTTTTCACTTTCGACACCCTAATCCACTTGCCATGATTTGCGTGACACCCCTGCTGACACATGCAATATTTTGTTTGTACAGTTTTTTCTTTCTTTCTATGTTCTTAATTATTATGCGCTTAGTGAAACTCTCTCGACACCCCTAGCAACTTGCCGTGTCTGTCGCGACACACGGTTCAGAAACAACTGTGTTAAAAGAAAAGAAGCTCTAGTGGGTTACCTTCTTTGCTCATTTAATTAATAAGGAACAATTGTTGGCGTGTAACTCTTATTGTTTTCCAATACTTCATTGGAAAAATACTGTTGCGTCATCGAGATCACGTGACTATTCTCACGCCCTCTACTTTCTAGAACTATCCTGTACTTTGGCGAATGCTCTAGCATTTACTAGATATAGGGTAGCCTGGTATATAAAAGAGGGTGACAACGTGACGGGAAGATGTAATGTGTGTGTGTAGATAGTGAGTAATTGAACTGCAGTCAGAAGTATTGTTGACGTTCGTTGATATAGCGTTTGTTTTAGCGTGATTATTGAAAATAAGTGTATCGTAAAGTTGTATTCGGAAAGAATAAACCAGTTTTATTAAGTAAGGACTTGTGTCGCTAAAGTTTCGTCGGAACGAAGTTACGGAAAGTTAATTAACAAACGGATACGTAACAATATTAAAACTGAAATTATCATTACAAAAAGAAAGATCGTCCTACATTTCTGAAATAAGACCCAAGGAGTGGTCTTCTTCCCCCTCCTTTGTTTTGTAATGAGTAAAAATGTAATATAAATTTTTAAAAACGTGCCTTACTAGCAAACTTTAGGAAGTTAACCCTTTAGTACAGTTAAAGTACTCTGCTGGTATATAAGAGGACCTAGGCTCCAATCCTATTTACGGAAATGCAAAAATGGAACGAGAAATACATTTGCGTCTAACATGAAGCCTTCTTACAATCCTAAAATAACGAAAGGCCTTGTTTGTATAAAGTTGGGAGTTTGTTGCTAAAACGAGCCTTATGAGTAGGCTCTTAACCTATTACCTTGGTTAGTGCGTAAAGTCCCGAGTTCGAATCGTACACGAGAGAAAAGCAAAACTGGATTAACATAAGAGCACCCGATTTTAATCGCAACCGAATTTTTAGGAAGAAATAAGATTTATAGTGAATAGAAAATATCATAAGCTTTTTTATATAATTTAGCAGTAGTTAAATAAAAAAAGTGTAAGAAAATGATTTATAAACAAAAGAAGGAAATCCAGCAAACAAAAACGTTTAAATGAAGCAACAGGGAAAAATATTGAGGCAAAGCTGCGATTGTGAGACAACAGAGAACAGCGCTTGTAAAACGATGAATAATTGAAGTTCAAACATGTTACCCAAAATCCTTGGGGAATGGCATTGTCATGAAATAAAAGACTGTTTGGTTTAGATATTAGTGATTAACTTATTTTTGTGAGTGAATATTTTATCATTGTTTAATTTTTGGTATAATAAGAGTTCAAAGCAAACGATTGTAGGAAGTTTTGTTAATAATTCATTGACGTCGAGAATATAGAAGGCGGACAAACGATTAAGTGCTAAAGATACATATAGCATGAGACGAGCGGGAAACAGCAGACAGATAATAGCAAAAGAGAATAAAGTTGGTGTGAAGTTAACTACCGTAGAAGTGATAGGCCTAACGTTTAATATGTTAGAGTGAAACTAACAGTAGAAAAGAAGATAAGACAAATAGGTTTTATTCCGTCAAAGCGTGGTTCTAAAGTAATTGAATCAGCCTGAGTGCACTTTGACAAAAGAAGCAGAGGAACTTCAAAAGAAAGACCAAACGATTACGGTAACTCGCGCCACAATTGTAAGTGAATCACAGAAAAGTACTAGTGCGATAGAAATAGAGAATATATTTCGTCTTGTAAACTGAAATTCTAAAGTAATTGATTAGGCCTAAGTGTATATTTGACAAGAAGGAGAGAATATATATATATATTATTTTGAAAACAAGTGAAGTTCATGCTGTTTATTCATCGTTGACTTTATCGCTAACAAGTCACAGACACCTACTGTAGAAGATTCCTAAGGTAAACAACATCATAGGTAAACAACAACATCGAATTTGAACATCATAGTATATATTTATACTATTAAGAAATATAACAAAGTCTTTTCATTTTGACAATTGGCGAAGATCAGATTTTAAAATTCTGACAGGCATACATATTCTAGTTTGAAATGTTTATAAGAATTAAAAACGGAAAGCAACTCGAAATAATGGTTTGACTAGGTATACTGGTTAAAATTACTTTTAGGGAAGGTTATGCGTAGATAGATCTTTGTGTAGTTTGAACGAAAATTCTGGATCTAGCAAACTAGGAACCGGAAGAATGGACCAATTTTCGTATATCAATGGAGATTAGATCTTTGTTTTGGAGCGCAACAGATTTGTGTCTGTCTGTTTTGTATAGTTAAAACTCCACATAACCAAAACTTTAGTTCTTTATTTTATGGAATCTAGGACTACCCTGAAGTGAATGGCTAACAACCATACATTGGCTACAGTATATCGTTTTAAGAAATGTTTCGAAACACTGAAAAATAGGGTTCTAACTATAGTTACTTAAAACATTTTGAGAATACAATAAATTAATAGTAAACAAATTAATTTGCTGGAAACATTTTATTGATGGGTAAAATAAAGAGAGGAAAACAAACTGTGTTACTGGAAATGTTTAAAGTAGAATAACAAATGAAAACAAATTATGTAACTGGAAATAATGAATAGAAAATATGTTGCTGAATATAGAAAATGTTTATGTGCTTTTTATAAAACGTGTAAGGTTGCTATTATACACATTTTATTATATAATTATATATATATATATTGTTACGACAGCGGAAGTCGCGTGACGCTGGGAGCATGCGCGCTGGAGTTTCTCGAAGGATCATGAATTTGCCTGGCGAGAAAAACCAGTGGGATTGAAAAGATGGACAATTGAGTCAAGCGAACAGTAGGCACCGTAAGTAAAGTGTGTGAATCACTGATTTATAGCGTGTGTTATAAAGGTTGTTAAGTTTAAAGTGACTGTGGAAAGTTGTTTCGAGAAAGAATAAACTAGTTTTAATCAAGAAAGGACTTGTATCACTGAAGTTCCTCGGAAATAATTTATACCGGAAAGTAACAAACGAGCAGATACCTAACACTATATTTTTCTGCA